AAATGCAAAGCTGAAAGAAAACCTTTATTTAGTGGCTTCTGTTAGTGTCACATGCTAAAAAAAAATGCAGCGCTTCCCGTATCTCTCGGAGAATTATTGGCTCTCAAGCGCTTGAATCTGGACATCTGCTGACAAACTTTGACACTTCACAGTCATCAATATTCTTCTTTTTTTAATTAACATTGACCTTGATGGGCAATTTGATTAATTCTATAATCTTTAAAATTAATAATTATATAAATTTTTAATAATTATAAAGCTTGGATTTAAAATTATATAAAAAAAAATCTTTTGATTTTAAATTTTTATTATTAAATTACCTAGTAAATGATTTGGTCATCAATATTTTAATTGGTGGAGATATAATGACTTTAAATAATCGAGATTTTTAATTACTATTATTGAATGTATTTTTTTATTTATTATTGATATTATTTGAATTAATTTGTGTATATTTCAATTAGTTTTATAAGTTCTAGAGTTAAAGACATTGTAAATCTTTAGCAGCAATAAGAGAACTCAAATTCATGACTATTGGAAAGTAAACTTAAGATTTGACCAGTTAAGCTATCTTTCAGGGTTTTTAAAATGTTTTTTTTTTATAATTAATATAGGTTTTTGGATCAGTTTATACATACTTGGATTAATCCTTTATATTTTAAAGCTAACGATCATATAAGTCTTTAATGACTCTAAAAAAACTCATACTTGTAATCATTAAAAAAAAAACTTAATGATTAACTAGTTGAGTTATCTCTCAAAATTTTCTTAAATATATTTCTTAGTTGTGTAGATAGTATTTAAAAGTTGGTCAATAATTATTTTTTAAATTTTTTAGTTAAAAAATATATTTTTAAAATTAATATATTAAAATAATAAAAAAATCAAACAAAAAAAATTAAATTTTAACACACCTCTGTTTGTCTGAAGGGGTACTCCCGAACATGTGCTTATTACTTGTTAGTAGGAGAAAGTCTTGATTCAGTGTATTTCACCCTCGCCGCACATTTTTTTGGAAAGGCTTCGATTCGGTCCATTACAATAAATGGATTGTAGAAGGAAAAAGTCTAGATTCAGTGTGTTCTTCGTAATCCCCTTTGAGCTAATCATCTATGTCAGCAATTTTGATTGTATTTATTTTTGTATTTTAAAAATATATTTTTAAAAAATTAATTTTTTTATATATATTTTTTAAATTAATTTTTTAATATTGTCATGTCATTTTGATTTTGATGTGTGGATATTAAATATAATTTTAAAAATATAAAAAAAATATTATTTTTATTTATTTTTAAATAAAAAATATTTTGAAGTTACTGCACTTTTAAATACTTAAAAAAAAACCCTACAAATATATTATTTATTTATTGGAAAGGTTTTGACTCCGTCCCTCTATTATTCATGGATGGTACAAATTGCAACCTCTTCCCAATATTAATCGGACATTAATTTTCCCTACATGATGTAATTATTCTCCTATTTTTATGTTGATTTTTTTTTTAAATTTTGATTTTGACACGTGATATTAATTTCTGATTTGGGAATTTTAAAATATAATTCTTATTACTGTTGTTGCTTTCGTTGATTGAGACCATTTTTAATAACTATACTAGATTATAAAGTTTCCTTATAACAAATTTCATATTAAAAATAACACTGGCAATTAACACTAGCTAGTTGAAAAGGAGATAAATGATAAAAAATAATAATAATTAATAACCCACATGAGTGTGACTTGTAATTTGAAACCTATGAGTGTGACTTGTAATTTGAAACCTATCCATGAGACTGGCATAAGTTTTTCAATATGGAGCCCATTGATGTAATATGTAAGAGCAATCAATAAAAGAGGGCATAAATGTACATTAGCAATCAATAAAAGAGGGCATAAATGTAGTTCATCTTTTTTTTTAATTAGTCACTTTAACCCGGGTTAAATATTGATTTAGAAGCTACAACTAGTTTAAAACGGTGTTTGATAATGCAGCCAAAACTATATTCATTTAAATTTAAATTTTTTTTATAGTTTTAATCATCTTGTTATGTAAATATTTAAAATAAGTTTCTTAAAATAAAAAATTATTTTAATATATTTTTAAATAAAAAATATTTTAAAATATAATTGTTAATATATTTTTAGATAAATACCAAGTTAGACAGCGACACACTGCCTTGGCCACCATTGATGGCTTCTCTAAACGAAATACCCACGTGAACCATATGCATTATGTCATAAAAATAATATCATCTTGCGCTAAAATTACGAAAGCTTCTTACTTTACCTACATTATTCTAAAAAAAGGAGCATCTTCCTGTGTACTTTAGCCATCAAGTTCCACAAAGACCATGCTATCCTTGCCAAATCTTACAAAATTCTGTATAATTGTGATCTAAGGGATGGTCAAAACGGGTAACAAAATAATGGGCAATCTCTTAGTTATAGCAAAGAGTAAAGGGCATTTTCTTGAGGCCAATCTCTATATAAACCAAGGTGTCAAAGTACCATCCAAACCAACACCTTGGTTTATAACTAAGAGAAGGAAGAAGAAGAAAGAAGAAGAAGGAAAACAGAGATGGCAGCTAGTGTGATGATCAATGGTGTAAGTTACTCACAGAGGTTTTATGGCCGTATGATCCCCAAGAGAGGTCAAGTTAAGGTGGCAATAGTTCTGGGTCTGGCCCATACTTTTGCCTCTATGTTTTCTCCCCGCAAGAGATGTGGTGCTGCCCAGCTAGCTCACAAGTACTAAACCTCCGGAAGGCTGCTCAAAGTTTTGGCCTGAGTTTAGTGACTAATTAGAGAGAGATTAACATTTTTATTGTTTTTCTTCATGTATTCTACGGGGTAATTAGTGTTTCTTCCTCTGTACAGAGAGTTTAATCATCGAATGGATAAATTTTCTTTGATTCCCAGATGAACTTCTTGATTCTACTTTGATTCTATAGCCTTTGGTGTTAATTTGTGATGGAAATGCTTCTGCAGCAAATAGTATTTTTAGCAGCTAGTGGACGCAGAATATTTCATTGGTGGTTTGTGTGTCACTCACTATATAAAACATTATTTCCAATAATCTTAAAATTATATTTTCAATAATCTTTATTAAAACTTGACCCTCTTTTTTAAAGGCTACGAGGATAGAAATTTTTGTCATTGATTTGAACACTTATTTATTTATTTATTTTTGCGTGCAGAGCTAAGATTTTGTTGAATTTGATTAGTTGCATAGTAGCTATCTATCATTTTCTATGTTTGGTAGCTAATATTTTGTATATAAATTCAAATAAAAAAATTGGATATTACATATTTCCATACTATTATAAATCTGATCTTTGTGAGGTATATATGGTTGCTGGATTCAAATCATTATTTTTTTTTTAATTTTTTTCCCAACTGGCTATTTTGCCTTTTATTTAACTGAAAAAAGAGAGACTAAAAGTGGACAATTAGACCAATTTACCTCTGCTAATTAATCAAATCAATATCCAATTAATTATAATTCATTATAATTAATATCTCTAAATTCTACTTACATAAAAAATATTGGTATGAAAATGTTGCTAAATACACTAAAAAAATATCCCATAATCCTGTTTGTTTTTGCGTTTTAAAAGCACTTTAAAAAATATAAATTTTTTTATTAATCTCAAATTAATATATTTTTAGTATTTTTAAATTATTTTGATGTACAAAAATAATTTTTAAAAAATAAAAAAATATTATTAACATGTATTTTAACATTAAAAGCTATTTAAAAAGCAATTACAACTATATTTTTAAACAAACTCTTTACCTGTAGTTCTTGCAAATAAAATCAAAGATAACACTATTATGTAATATAATGATGGTACTATATTACAACTCAATTATAATTTATTTTAAACTTATAGAACTCAATCATAATTTCGCACATATTTTGTTTGATATCCAACCTTCTAATTATTTTTTATTTAAAAAATAATTTATCCATTTTAAAATAAAAATAAAAATAATTAATTGCTTTTTATAACATCGGAAAATTAGAAAACCAATTGCTTTTCTTATATCCAAAATAAGTCCGACCCTATCTTTAATAATCTAGTTAACTAGTAAAACAGCAAATTAATCATGGTGTAAGCAATTATAGAATCAAGAATACTCCTGATCAGTATATGTTAAAAAATCATTCACCATTGATTTTCTTGAGTTCCGTCATCCAAGCAAAGCATCGAAGGTTATTTGCTTACGTGAAGAACTCAAATGCCTATAAAAAATTCCGCCCTACTTGCCAATAAATAAATCCAACAGGAACTGGCGGCTTTAATTTCAACTTTCAAGTCCAACCCTAGCAGAATCGAATATATTTCTTGACCTAATTACAAGATCTCAAGTACATTGAATCAAAGCCCCCTTCCGCTCACAAGATTTAGATTCGATGAATGGTGTTATACTAATATAGTTTTTAATTAGTTAGGTTCTAATATAGTACTATGCTGCTTTTGTTAGTTAATTAATTAATTAAAGTTTTAAGCACATGCATGCAGGCCATATTCAACTATCTCTTAAATCCTCTCGAGGAAGAATATGGTGACTTTGAAATGTTTCTTTCAGTTTGATTAGAAATATATCGATGGCGATACCTTAATTATTGCTCCTCCCACATCAATTATGTGCATACCCCACCATGGATAATTGTACAATTTAATCTTTTCTTTATATTATTGCGTTTAAGGAACTACTTGTAAAGGATATCCATAATTCACTCAAAACAAATTAACTATTCAGCTTGTAAACCGGCAACAATAATTCAAATTAGTTTTGTTATCCTTTATCTGTAGTTGATGTAACAAATCATGTAAATCTATTGAACCGATAAATATATTTAAACATCAATAAGAATACTAAATAATTATCAAAGAAAATTATCTTAACATCTCTGCTTCTTTATGGTATCAGAACACTTGCTATAACGAGATTAATATTATCCTTTTCTCTTCTTTTCATTCTTTTTTTTTTTTTTATCATGGCTGATTCTAACAATTTCACACTAGTAACCCCTACAATTCCCACCTCATCTACTGATCCTCCCATTCCTCTTATTGCTCTTACTAGTGGTCAACTTCCACTCAAACTTACTCATCTAAATTATCCTTCATGGCGTGCTCAGTTTAATTCCCTTTTCTTTGACTATGATCTACAAAGTTTTATTGATGGAAGTCATCCTTGCCCTAATCGCACCTCTACCACCTTCTCTCAATGGATGCGCCAATATCAACTTTTGCTACATGCTATCCGTATTTATGTCTCTTACTCCATTACTCCTCTTATTGCATCTGCTACAGCCTTCAAAGATGCATGAGACTGTAAAGTCATGTAATTAGATGGTATAATTAATGG